TGAAATTAACGCCGAAATTATAAATAATTTCTCCCTGTGAAGCGATTTTTTTTTAAACCGCATCTGCATCTCCTTTTTTTTAGATTGTAAACTATTTGCATTTTTATAAAATACTCACCTTCTTACTCCATAATTGGCAATATCTAGTGGAAGTTCACAATATTGTCAAAGTTTGTGGATAACGTTTTTTATTGTCTTCCTAAAATTTTGTCATATAGACAAGATCTGTAATACCGAATACCTGATTTTATTGTTAGTGATTTTATTGGTAATGCTATCCAAATAATTTCCTAAATCCGATTAAGTGTGAGCGATACTGACTTTACATAAATATTGCTGATTATTAAAGTCTCAAAATGTATTTAAAATTTTTTGGAGGAAGGCTACATTTTGGATTTTGTTACTAGTATTCTGTGAGAATTGCCTTTTCAGATTCAAAATCCACAAGGAAGTTCTAGAAGGTTTTCGAAAACATATACATCAGCAAAAAACCTTTTTACAAAACTATTATTGTAAACACGTTTTTGCGGAATTATGAAAAAGTCAATACTAATTTGTATTCACCCCCACCTCTACTAAAACGCCATTGAAAAATGAAATTTCCATATCTCTTACTACACTTACTTGAAAAAGTGTTTAACTTTTTACCATGTTATTTTTGTTTCAGTTTTTGAGTGTAAAATGTTAACAAATACATTATGAAGAAGTCAACCTAAGTAAGGCAAGGCCTTGCAATGTAAAAGAAAAAGAATAATATAGCAAAAGACCATGAAAAATAATATCTAAAAAGCAAAATAAGGTGAGAGAAGACGCACGGACTCAATCAATGGCATGTTGAGAAAGTTAAGTAACTAAATATAAATTAATTAATTGGCTGGTAGATGATTTTTCTGCTACCTGTTGTTCCTTTTTGTTGAGTCCACGCGAGTTTATGTGTAAACTAATACGAATTGGGTCAGTTCAGTTCATTCCCGTCGTTGTTTCTCACTCATTCCGCCTTTATCTCCCGAGACAACACACCATTGTGTTACTTCTTAATATAATAATGTCCGTGTTGTAAACGCGATAAATATAATATGTATTTGTTTATTTGGAAAGAGAAACCTGTGCAAATAGCAGTTTAAAAATATTTTATCACTTAAACTACTGATAAACCATTTCCGTGTTTGTTTGTTAACAAAATAGTCGTTGATGTACTTTTATTTCCCACTTTCGAGATTATATGCACCTTTTGTGTACTCAAGATAATATCCTCTTTATATTGATATAATATACTAATTCTTTCGTTTATCATTTTACAAACACATCATTTCTTTGTGGGAATAAACTTCGAGAGCCGTTTTATCTCCAAGAACTTGATGTACCCAAGTGTCACCCATTATCAACAAAATAAAAAGCTCGCGAATTCACGTAGCATTACGTAATGTACTAATTCCGAATTTACGAAATTTTATCTATACAGGGTGCTTCTCAACTAAGTGGTAGTTTAACGATGTATATTCTAAAAATAAGGAAAATAGAACGCGAACAGTAAAAACACTTGTTTAAAATTGGGCATAATATCACCCAGAATTTTTTAGTTTTTTCTACCCCTACCAAAATTAAACAAACTCTAATAGAACATGAAAATAATTGTGAAAAAGCGAAAATTTTGCCTAGGGCGCACTGTGGGCCCCATGCATAAAGTAGGTTGCAATAAATCATTATTAAAAATGCAAAATTTTTCAATGTTTTTAAATTAAGAACATACGGAAACATGTAAAAAGAGTATTGCTTTCTTTCAAGAATTTTTTATAAAGGCACAATATCAGATGTTTAAAAGAAAGTCTATTTTTATTGCAATCGCTTCAATAAAATAACGAAGTTTTCGTACAAATGCCGCTTTAAGTATTTGACAACTGATGTCAGTCCTGTTAATTAGTTTAGACCTGTACATGCAATGTAGAATGTTTGTGTTTTTTCTGCGATTTGACAAGAAGTGATTTGATAAGTACCATTAATATTGAATTTTTCAAATTCTATAGAGTAAAAAAATATGAAGGCCAACGAGTGCCAAGCGAAAATATACATTTTTTATTAGGCAAGGGTGTGAAGTACTAAAAACTGTTAGGCAAAAATGTCGCAAATCATCGCAAAACTTATGCCAGTTAAAAAAACCTCTGAGTGATAAAAATATTAACAATTAATATGCTCTTAAAGTTGTTTATCGCATGTATTGCTTGCGCAATGAGCCAATTATAATGCATTATTTTTATACATATTTTCATTTTATACACACATTTAAACTCAAATTTGCAAGACTACTTTTGTTTTTTCTTTTTAGAAATGTACGAAATATCTAAAAAAACGTTGTTTCAATTCTGGAGTGTCTCTAGTAAGAAAAACCTTGTAGAAGAAATATTTAAAATATTTAAGTCTTTACTCGTGGTATTATATGCCCATAACCGTCCGCAAACTGCTGTACCGTTCCACAGATATTATTAAACATTGTATTGTGCTTATTGCGCAGCTCTCCGAGGAGGCCCAAGAGGCACTTCACAAAGATTGTCGGTGATATGGCGAGCATCACACCCAAAAAAAATTGCGCATTGCCACGAATAAAGACTTGATGCGAATGTTATTAGTGTCCTCTGACCCCGTTATAGCCAGTTACCGAAAAAAAACTGTAAGACCAAAAAAGCCCAGAGCTTCCATGCCTTACAAAAAATGACCAAAAAGTTACCTAGTGGGTTTCAGGGTTAAAAAAAAGTATGTTAAGTAGAAAACATCTCTGCTAAAAATTTATTTATAAGCCTATTCTAAGGCTTTTTCTTATCCTTTAAGTTTTTTGTGTTTTGTATGATCCCTTGCTTGTGTTGTTTTAATAAAATAGTTATATTTTCAATAAGTTAATTTAATTTAGGTAAATAGTTCATATATTTGGAATTTGTTAACTAGTATGTTTTCTGTTTCCTTAAATACAGTTAAATTATTTCACGTGACTGCAGAAGCTTTTTGAATAAAACTGGGCAGTAATTGCAAAATCTTTCCAATTTTTTGTTCTAGTTTTGGTATATCTTTAAAATACGCTCCGAAAAATACTAATGTGGCAACGCTGGAAAATTGAAAAAAAATTGTATTATTATTAATACTATTAATAATAATAATTAATAATAATAAATAATAAAAAGATTTGAGGTTCTCAAGTAACTAGAAAATAATCGAATTAATGCAACCTAGTTTGAGCAATGGGCCCACAGTGGGGCGGCTCCCTGCAATTAATGATTTAAACTTTGACCAAATAAGTATCAGTATGAAATATCAGTATGAAAAAAATGTTTTTTTTTAATTTGACACCCTGTAGCGGGCATGCTTACATGCAAGTTTGGCAGGCGTGCTTTTTTACACTCTGTATATCACCCTGTGAATCATTTACACGAGTTCGTAATTTATTAATCCCTAAACAAAGAGGAAGTGTAACGCTCGTTGCAGACTTCCCCATGATTAAGTTTGCAGAATTATTATCGAGAGTCGTAAACTAAAATTTGTTTTAGACTTTTCGCCTGATTTGTCGGTTGATACTGCAAATTTTCGTTGTATGACACATTAATAATATCTAGATACGTTCAGTGAATCATAGATGTTGATTATCACTTGTTTATGCATTAAATACGCGTTCTATCTGTGTCTGTTTAGGATTATGTCTTGGAAATGTATGTAGAACGCCAATTTAAATTAAATCAAGGTTATAGTTGGCGAAATAAAATTTGATTTTTAAAAATATCTTTTACTAATGTTTTTTAAAACGAATATTCAATAATTAAAATCATAAACCTAAAGTACAATTATTGGAATTATAAACTGGAAGAACAATTACACTTAAAGTATTAATTTAATTTAAACTAATTTATTTTTTCGACCTTTTACCCGTCAGTTTATCTCTTATTTTTGTTAATGTAGGCTTAAGAACATGATAATTCAAAAAGGAAAATTGCATGAAGAAATAAAATGTAACTTAGCTGTAATTTTGAAATAGAGCCACTAACGATATTTTTGGTTTGCTTTTCGGGGTCGGAAACCCCGGGTATATTTTATTTTCGAATAATTTTTTTGAGTTTTTTTATTTTGACACACATTTAATTACTTATAAATTTGAAATATTCATAATGTAAAGATAAATTGCATTAAGAAATTAATAAAAACAAACAAAAATTATAAGTTTTGCATGAACTTAGACATTGCCTGTTATGTTTACTAGAAAAATTGGAAATATCCTTATTCTAGTTTTGACTATAGTTTAGTTAAATTTTATGTTTGTATTTGAATAATGCTACTGGTATTTTCAACTCAAACATTTTTTCTGTTGTCAATTATAAATTATTTGTTGACTATTGTTGCTAATGATTAATAACGAAAATAATAAATCACGCATGAACTTAGGCGTTGCCTGTTGTTTATACTAGAAAACTTGGTCACCGGTGTTTCAACTCAGACATTTTTTTCTGTTGTCAATTAGTATAAAATCGAATATGAAGAACCAGTTCCTAAAATTACCAAAACATAGTTGCTATGTTATGGTACAGTTAAAAAAAATGCATTATTAGTAATATTTGACCGAAACGTTTAATTGTAATAAAACTATAATATAATGGTAGTATTGTGCAAATAGTTTGATAAAAGTTAATCATACATGGCATACATGTTCTATTAAAATGATGTAAAAATCGTCGATCGATTTAACAATATATCAATAATACAACTGTCAAAACCATGCATACCTATATATATATACGAGTCAACCCGGTTGTGATTTTTCTGTTGTGGATTCTCTGTTCTGATTTTAACGAGAGTTTTCTCAAAGTTGGGTGTTATTTGCATGACAATTTATAAATTTATAAATCTCACTGTTTATAGCCAAAAAAAAAAACATGGTAAATTAGTAGAACATCAATTATCCAAAACCCCGGAAAATGAAAATGTCTGTAAAACGTTTTTCACGGATATATCAAATTATAGCTTACCTTAACCTCTTCGCCTCGTCTATGAACGGCCGTTTCTCGCTCTCGCTCAACAGTTTCCACTCCGCGCCCAGCCTTTTCGAAATTTCCGAGTTGTGCATTTTCGGATTCTCCTGGGCCATCTTCCTCCGTTGACCCCTCGACCAAACCATGAAGGCGTTCATGGGCCGCTTGATATGTTCTTGACCGTGCTGAATGGCGGTCGGTTTCGGTGATGACATGCTTCTTCTCGTTTCCTCCCCTCAACAACCGCAAAACTCACTAAACATGATCAACTCTCTCGGAACTCTAAACTGACGTAATATCTGAACCAGTGATGTCACAAGTGCCTTTAACGTCGACGATAATGTGTAACTGAAATCACGTTGCCTTTTGGAAACATTTTGCCGGTTCCGTGGGGTCAGGAGGGGAGATCGCGTTGAGGGCGGAGTTAACGCGCGCCGAATTTCACGCCGGATTTATTAACCGAAAAGAGATCTCCTCCTAAAGTGGTAACTTTACATAATGTCACGTTTTGTCTCTTTCTCGTCTGTTCAGCTATTTGACGTTGTTGATTTGGCCGGATTAATGCGGTTGGGGTGGCAATATTTAAATGGGTGTTTTTACTCTGCGGCACTCCACGCTTTCCGTTACTGCGCCAAATGTCAGCACCTCATGTTTATGGTCTTCCGAGTGAAAAAAAATCACTTTAAACTCCTACATAAATTTAAAGTAACTTCACATGAAATATAAGCAGCCGGAAATTATATCGGGAGGCGTCGTAGAGTCGATTTAAATGTGAACGAGACGATATTTCGGATGACACCCGGTATTGTTTCGGGAATAAAGGCCCGAAGGACCCGAAACGGTTCTAAGACATCGTGATGCGATTAGGAAGTATCTGCACCAATGGCACAATCGAGGCGGGGTTTAAACAATCGATGTTGTTTGTGGTGGGGGCGCGGAGCGACATAAACCAGCAACAAGTGTTTAACGGCTTCGGCATGAGCCTTTCTAATAAATCCGGTTATACCAGGTTGCCAATATCTTTGAATTACATATTGCCCCTTGTTTTTTAGGTTTTACAATAAAATTATGTGTTATACTTCACTGGGAGATGTCTCTGCGGAGTTGTAGGCAGATGTTAGAACCTCCTATTTTTTACAATGCCAACCGTAACTCCAACAATTTTTTTTACAGTTATTGTTACAATTCATTACATTTCATCACATTTATCACATTTTTTGAAGACTTCCTTCTAACGATCTGCGTTTTAAAATTATACAGGGTGTCTTAAATTAAAGGACTTTTTTTTTTTAATTTCAACTTGCAGTATTAATTTTTTTTAAAAAAGTCGCCCATGTTTTTGATATTTTTTCTCAAAGCGTGTCAAAATACCTATAATTTGGTATATATACGTTCTATACCTAAATCTAATGGTTTTCGAAATACTGACACCTAATTACTTTATTTTTTTTTTAAAAAGCACATCATTCTTATTTTTTAATTAATTTTAAGGATTTTTGCAATGGGTGATGGATCTTTTTTGTAGGTAAGGTAATACAGAGATTTATAGGTTTAGTGAATTAAAACGTCATCATTTTTTATATCGTCAACGACGTAAAATATTATGTATAATTATGATAGAAGTTAAAAATTTAAAACAAGTAACAGTAACAAGTAAAAACAACAGTACAAAATACAATATAGAATATCTACAGTACTCTTTCGACCATTTTGAATAATGCACCTCTGTATGGTATGGTATGGGCATTAGAAACAAAATCGGTGTTATTTAGTTGGACTACAGCTTTACTAATATACCTTTGTAGTTCATTTACCGTAGCGCATCTTTCTTTATATACCATATCTTTAATTGTCTCCACAAAAAAGTCCAGTGTTACCATTTTGTCCTATCCAAAGATTGTAATTTTGATTTCAAAATTCAGTGATATCGTTTCCTCGGTGGTACGAAGTGCCATCTTGCTGCCATATTAATTGAGCACGTTCACAAGCCGGTATTTCATTTACTATTAATGGTTGTATTTGATTTCGTAGCATATTTAAATATCGTCTAGAGTTTAAACCAAATTGCCCCTATAACTTTTGATCGGTATATTCCGCACCACACCTTCACAGATCGTCTACCTTGTCGTTTTACTTCCAATACCCTTTTATTTTCATTACTCCAGTAATCCGTGTTTTTTTAGGCTTTTTTATGAGAAATCGACTCATCGGTGCAAATTATATGACTGAATGCGTTATCAGCGAAATACATGTCCATTAAAATATTCCAGTAGTGTAATCTTTCGTCAAACTCCCGTTGCTATAGATTTGCACGGGTAAAAACTTAAATGCTTTTCGCTAACTTAATTTTAAACAATTTTTGAGGCTAGTTTTTTTAATATCCAACTCCAACGCGGCTTGACGAGTGGAGGATTCTGGTATATTCTCAAAATGTAGTAGTATATCCAACTGCTTCTCCTCTTTTAGAACTTGCCGTGGTCTTTTCTTGGACGTTGGCACAAAACTACCACCTTGCCTAAACTTTGCATAAATTTTTCGAAATAGCTTCTTCTCTGGAATCCGCCTTACAGGAAACTTTCTTTGATCTATAGCTAGACTTTTCGAATTCGATAAAACATATTCAAGCACATCTGTTTTTTCTTGCAAAGTATATATTTTTAACTTAAGTAATAATAATATTGCTTGATTAAAATCACATCTGTCAAACTCAGATTCTTAATTATAACATCACTTAAAATAATTTTAAACTCTTATTTGGCTACCACGGCCTACTAAGGCAAAAAGTAAGTTTAATGGAAGTTTTATACTATTAATGAAAACTTTATTTAAATATGCGAAATCTTATTAAATTGTCCCATCATTCGATGAAAAAATCATTAAAATAAAATAAAATATAAGCAAGATATGCTATTATAAAATTCTTTATAATAAATACGTTCAGTATTTTTCGCCAGCGAGTTTATTCCTAAAAATTTCGAAAACCATTAGATTTAAGTATAGGACATATATATACCAAATTATAGTTATTTTGACCCGCTTTGAGGAAAAATATCAAAAACATGAACGTCTCATTAAAAAAAAAATGAGTACTGCAAGTTGAATAAAAAAAAAAGACCTTTAATTTAAAACACGCTGTATAATTTTAAAATACCCAGTCATCGCAGATCGTTAGAAGGAAGTCTTCTAAAAATGTGTTTAAAATTTGACAATTTTAAAACTAATGTCGGCCCAGCACTTGTCGGACACCCTATATATATATATATATATATATATATATATATATATATATATATATATATATATATATATATATATATATATAATTTTAAAATTTAATCTAAAACATAAAACTTTTGTACAAACTTTTTTTTTCTAAAATAGTAGTACCTGAGGAAAGGTGCAGGCCCCTTAAAGTGCCCTTCCTGTACACTCCGTCCATCTGCGGTTTACTTCTTGTAAACTGTTTTCATATATTCATGAATATATATACAAGGTGATAGATTTTACATATGCCCGTATATCTATTAGATAATATAGAGGCACTGCATACTATAAAGTGACCGATATACCGCGCATGCCCTAAATTTCACACGCCACTTTCTTTCTAAACAGTGATCTCCACAGACTCAATTCGTTTTTTCCTTGAGAATATTTTTTAAAAATTCTATCTTAAAAATACCAATTGACGAATTTCAGCACCCATGTAAATTGTTGAACGTCACGCCGCGAGGTTTTATTGGAAGCGAATTTTGAAATGATTGTATGCTAATATTGGAGGACCCTTGTCGATATTGTTTAATGTCTATTTAGTATTTAAGTATTTATGAACACATACAGTGTCTATAGTGAAGGGGCATTTATTGAGTCAAAATAATTCAGTTAAGTTTAGTTTAAAAGTTGATGTTTCAATTAAAAATTAAAAATAGATATTTCTCAATATTTTGGAAACTGCGTTTATGTTTAACCTTGTATTTTTTAAATACCAATTTTTGGTTATAAACTAAAGCGTAATCTCATACTGTTCAATACTTTATTCGAATGGAACAGTATAAAAACCAAAATTGTTAAGGAAAATCTGGAGTATGCACGTCAATGTTACATTAAGCTTCTTTTTATACATGGCTTATATAAAAATTGTTTTTTTAATTTCTCATTGAAGTTTTTTGTCGTAATTGTTGCTAATCTTTCTTTTATATCCCTTTAAACTTATGTTTTCGTTCAAAAACTTTCAAATTCCATTTAGCTTTCGTGATATTAAAAGGGCCATATTTTTGTGTCAGACAACATAAAGCAAGAAAAAAAGAAAAATAAACAAAGAAATCGATCGAAGACTAAGACTAATAGCAGTCGTCACCAGACATTGATATTTCAGATGATTTGTTGCTGATAGACCACAATTACAAAATACATCGGGGAAGGTTGCTTATATTACCACAGTTTTTACATTTTCGCTTCTAGGGAAGATAATTATAAAACTCTATTAGCATATTTATATACCTTAACATGTTACACCACTGTAATTTATATGCTTTTCTCTCAACTGGAAATTTTAGGTGACATTAAAAACTTAAAACCCTTGCAAGTAGTAGAATACATGGGGTAGACATTTTATTATAGAAAAATAAAAAAGATAAAAATTATTTAGTTGGGCATTCAAAAGTCACAAAAGTCTTTTTATTGCACATTAGAGCACGATTGCTTCCAAATCTAAATTAACTTTGCGCTTAACGTTTTCCTTTTTATTCAGGTGTTTGTTTAGCTTTTATGGAGTAGTTGTAATAACAGCGATTTTTGAGCACGAGAGTTTTGTCCTCATCAACTTCTGGAAACCTAGAATTTCTTCAAAACTATTGAGAGAAACTACCTATATTCTGACGTAAATATTTCTGTATCTGAAACTACTTCTTCGGGTAAATGAGGTTCTGATTCTAATTGAAGTCTTGTTTAAAATCGATTAACGGGGTATTGTCATGGTCGTTTTCAGATTCTGGCAAATCTTCATCTGCTTGTCAACTTTGCTTAACTGTTAGTACATCCGACTTCAATGAATACATTTCTATCGACTTGCGCTTATTGAGAAGCCATTGATAGTAATGGGCATCACTTCCGCTCGAGGATATGCTTCTCCAAGTAATTTAGCTACTTGATATTGAGTACACAGTAAGACCATGAGTAGTTAGTAAAGCCCTAGTGGTTTAAAAACCGCTACATCTAG